TTTACGAGATATTTTGTACTTTATTCTGGCATATATTAACATAAAATTTTTAATAATACATAAACTATTAATTTTTTTATAACCTTCATACTTTTATAAACATAATAGTGAGATGAATCAATTGGTGGATGAAAAACACATAGTTGCTTTAATATGAATATGTATGTATAAAGGATAATTTTTTAAATAAGTATGTGATTTTCCGGTGAGAAATGACAACCCTGGTAGCAAGCTGACGTCAAAATGACATCATTTGACGTTAAAAAGACGTCATTTGACGTCAAAATGACGTCAAAATGACGTAGCTTGCTACCTGGGAATAGAATCGATATCGAATGAATGTTGATTCGACATCGAAATCATCAAATTGACGTCTATTCGACATCGATTTCATTGTCATTTCTCACTGAGTTCTTTCCATCAATTCATTCATCTCATTACTCTGTTCATAAAAATATTAAGGATTACAAAAAAATTAATAATTTACGAGTATTTAATATTTTATGTCAATATATGCCAGAATAAAGTACAAAATATCTCGTAAACTATTAACTTTTCGATATCACTACCTTAATACTTTTATATGCAGAATAATTAAAGGAATCATATATATTATGTAAAAAAAAGCAAACTATTCCATTTAAAAAAGTGGAGGTGATCTTGAAATCTCCAAGCGCCTCCACTCATAGAAAAATTATTACTAATATATTGTACCCCTCTTGACACTTTATACAAATTCAATAAATATATCATTTCATATCTCTAAAATAGCGGAAATATTCTAAGTGGAGAGAGTTACTGCCCTACGCTGTACATATATAATATAATAGAATAAATACGTAGAGGAAAGGTCCCTATGATGAGATACCGAGTTCATTTTGAGTAAATGCTAGAAGTCTATAGGCAGAATTTTATAAAATAATAGGTCATTTTGAAGGGAATTTAATAAGGTTTAAGATAACGTTACGCAAAGTTTGATTCAAATCCCATTTTCTTCGAAAATTAGAGAAATGTAAAAAGTGAGCAAATCGCAAAGTCAAAAAATTGTGCTCCTAATATGAGATTCCC